TAACTGCTAACCTTCTTCTTCTTCTTCTTGTATCTTGATGAATATTTACTCATTTGTACTCCCCCCCCCCCCCCCCCCCCCAACAGTACTCACTCGTTGCCCCAGTCCAGTCGGACCGTGATGTGACGTTTGATCTCTCGGGTCTGGTCCTGGGTCAGGTGACCCTGGATCAGCTGCCGACGTAGATCGATCAGCTCGTTCATCACGTGACGGAGTTTGTGGAACAGGTCGACCTTGTGTTTCTGTAGAGGAGACGGTGACATCACTGACCAGGACACCGGACTTCAACCACAGACACAGGTGACAGACAGAACCAGGTACTACAGTGGTACTGTGTGTGTGTACCAGGTACTACAGTGGTACTGTGTGTGTACCAGGTACTACATTATAAAGACTGGTCAGCAGACCAGTCCCTTTGACCAATCACCACCGTCTGTCTCCAACAGTTACAGTCACAGTACAGTCAGAGTGAATGTGTTGGACTCATTAGCACCCCCTGCTGTCGAGACAACAACATGAACTGTTCTGTGTTACTGACCACATAGAGCTGCTTCCACAGAACGCCCCATTCCTGCAGCGTGGAGGTGGTCTCTGTGATGATGGGGTCCTCCAGGGGCACTACAGTCTCACACAGTCTGTTCAGGGTCCACGGGAAAACACCACAACACCAGAGTTAGCACGGCACACCGTATTACTGTGGTTGTTGTTGTCGTTGTGGTTGTTGTTGTCAACTAGCTTCTTCATCAACTGAATCCTGAACTCACCCCCTGTTGGTCACTGTGCATTTCTTGATGTGGACGTAGCTGACCGGAAAAATCCCCTGTGGACGGAAAAAAACATCAGGTGAAGTTGACGGATCAACGTTGATTTAAAACAGGCGTAAACTTTAGGTGAACGTGACGATTGTGATGATGAAAAGCAGTGGTTTCTGTGTTTGTTGTCGTGGAGTTCACCTTGATGGAAGGTTTCTTGGTGGAAAAGCCTCGGTACCAGCCTGGGGGGGGGGGGGGGGGGGCGGGGGGGGGGGGGGGAGAACAAGCGNNNNTAGAACCTGAACACTCGTTCAATCAGATGAACGTCATCAAACCTCCTGATTGGTCCGGTATCGACCAGCTGCCACTGACCGTCCTTACCTTCACTCTTCTCCAGGATCTGGACATTCTCCCCGATCTCCAGAACCAGCGTCTGACAAATCGATGAGCGGAAGTTGCAGATGACTGTGGACGTGAGAGCAGACAGGAAATACATCATCAGTGACAGAGGAACACAACAGGAAGTGCACGGTGGGATGGTGGGTAACGGTCGTGCCTTACTGCAGGCCTCAGTTCATGCAGCAGAGTTTCTTAACCTGAGAAAATTAAAGGACTGGTCAGCCGGTACCAGCTGTTACTACACACTGGTACTGGTACTGGTACTGAAGGATCATTTTCACTTTCAGACTCTGTTCTGTTTGGACCAGAGTCTGAGTGAAAAATAAAGAAAAGAAAAAGAGTCAATGACATGACTGGATTTGAATAAATTAGTAAAAATGAAGTACATTTCTTCGCTGTGTCCAGGAACTGTGTTGATGATGTGATGATAAATGAACGAACCATGAAAATGTAAAGAAGAACCTTGTACCTTGGAGACCCCCCCCCCCCCTCCTCCCTCCCACAGAGGAGTTAGTTAACATGAACGGAGGCGCTGGTTAATTAACGAACCCAGTGAACTGGGTCAGAACTTTTAAACCAATAAATACAGAAACCCCTAAGACTGACTGTAACTGACTGACACGGGACGCAGGACACGAACATTACATACACCTAGCATGTAGCATGTTAACGTCACTGTCTTACCGCAGGTAACTCGAACCTAGCGTTGTAGCTAGGGATGTAACGATGCACCGTGAATCGGTTAACAATCGATACAAATGCGTGACAATTCGCATCGGTTGAAAAAAAAAAAGAACCTTTCATCAAGACGTAAGGAGTAGGCTGCGTTACCTGGTCATACTCTAGTCCAGTAGGGGGCGTTACGCGCCTAAAAACTTTGGTTGAGCCGCCGTTAAACCCAGACGTCAGGTCCTACGTAGGCTGAGAGACGTTCAGGTGTTGGAACAGAACGTGGGAAGAACTGGTTCCACAGACACCAACAGTGTTCTCCAGTGGAACTCTTTCCACTTCCTTGTTTTTTTTCCTTCTATTCTGTTATTTTAGAGAACAGTGTCAGTTGTTGAGGTTCACAGACCGTTTCGGTGACGGAGAGTTTACAGAGTTCTGACAAAGAAAGAACTGATTTGGTCACCGTTTTTTTAAGTGATAAAATCATATTGTAAACGAACAAAAGAAATTGCGAATCGTATCACATCACGACTTTAGTGTATTGTTACACCCCTAGTGGTAGACACATGTTAATGCAATAACCACAAAGTACAAGGACGTTGTGTTAGCTCTGCGTTAGCACAATCTTGGTCATTTCAAGAGGCAGGCTTCACCACGGCTAGGCTAAGCTAACGCGGCCCCTTCATTTTCTATGGTTTTACCTGGCAGGTCTGACTGTTGTGAGTTGCATCACTGCCCCCTACAGGCTGTCTTTGTCATTGACTGAGAGGACTGTCCTGTGTTTTGTAGCCTTCGGGGACTTTGTGAATGTATATCATTATGCTAATAAACGAGCCAGTGAACTCAGTGGGGGGGGGGGGGGGGGGGGGGGGGGTCAGAGGGGGTGTCTGTTTGGGAGTAATGAGTTCCTACTTCCTGCTTTGGTTTCTATGGTAACAGATCATCTACAAACTGGAGTGTTTTCTCCACTGCAGTCAAAATGAGCAGCTCGTGGATGTGAAGCAGATGAAGGACAGGAGTTGGAGAGACGGTCAGTTGTCTGTCTGTCTCTCTGTCTGTCTCTCTGTCTGTCCATGTTCGTGCTAACATTATTTCAAACTACTAAACTGGTCTCACACAACTGGACTTCCTGTTTCGTCACAGCACCACCTGGTGGTTGACTACGTACACCACATAAATGAAGGTAAATCGTCCCAATACTAGGGCTTCAAACAGGCACAGAGGTCAGGGCTGTGGCTCAGTGGTGAAAACGTTTGTGCTTGTTACCGGAGGGTTGCAGGTTTGAATCCTGCCATGGTTGTTGACTGTTGGCCAGTGTGGAAGATCCTTTACATTAATGAGGGACTAATGAGCAATTAATGGTGACTTGACTGTGGTAAAGCATGTGACTAATCAATAATTAAATTGATTGACAGCCGTGATGACAGGATGAAACCTGTTCTCAGAGTTCCTCTTCACGTGATTGGTCAAGTTTTTATTTGTCGTTGTTTTTCTCCTCATCTGCATAAAAACTGCAGGTCGATGACACAGTACACAGAGTACACAGAGTACACAGAGTGTGTGCCACACCGTCAGGACAGTACTGTATACCATATTCACAGTAACATAATACACTGACCTAAGAACAGGACAGAGGTCACTGTGATGACCCCAGGACAGAGGTCATCACCCAGGTCACTGCATTAACACGAACGTTTATTAGTCATTAATTCATCAACACCACCTTAACTTTAAGGTTTGTATTTGTGATGGTTACTGTCGTACGTTCCACTCTGGTACGGTGTGTGTACGTCTGCACGTGTGTGTGTGTGTGTGTGCGCAGATACACACCACAGCGCCTGTTACAGCACCACAGACAGCGCCAGCTCACTCCTGATGTGGAGGCTGAGCTGAACTGTTGCTTCACCATCGTCACGGATCCAAACAGACTCCTCACCTCCTCCCCTCACCTCCTCACCTCCTCCCCTCCCCTCCTCCCCTCACCTCCTCACCTCCTCACCTCCCCCCCTCACCTCCTCCCCTCCCCTCCTCCCCTCACCTCCTCACCTCCTCCCCTCTCCTCCTCCCCTCCTCACCTCCTCCCCTCCCCACCTCCTCACCTCCTCCCCTCACCTCCTCACCTCCTCCCCCCACCTCCTCACCTCCTCCCCTCACCTCCTCACCTCCTCACCTCCTCACCTCCTCCCCCCACCTCCTCACCTCCTCCCCTCACCTCCTCACCTCCTCCCCCCACCTCCTCACCTCCTCCCCTCCCCTCCTCCCCTCCTCACCTCCTCCCCTCACCTCCTCCCCTCACCTCCTCCCCTCACCTCCTCACCTCCTCCCCTCACCTCCTCACCTCCTCACCTCCCCCCCTCACCTCCTCCCCTCCCCTCCTCACCTCCTCACCTCCTCCCCTCACCTCCTCCCCTCCTCCCCTCACCTCCTCCCCTCACCTCCTCCATCAGTCCACAGCTACAAACTACTGCACCACAGTGTAGCGCCATCATGTGACCACAGACCAGCGTGGACTCGGTGTTAACGCTGTCACTGTTAGAATATCCTGCAGCTTTTTATGACGTGTTCATGACCACGCTGTGTCACACACACACACACACAGAGTGTAGAAGTGTGGGCGTGTACGTGTGTGTGTACCATGAGTAGTAAGGAAGAGTACAGCATCTGGACATGACTCATCCTCACTAATGAAAGCCCTACGACACAGGGCCTCAACATTGGGTACGCAACCCACCGAGGGTCCACAGAGGGCCTGCAGGCGGTCATCAAATATTTAGTTAATTAGTCATTACTTATGTAAATGTTTTAAAGATCATTGTTTAACTCAGAGAGTAGTGAGTTCAACTTTGACCTGTTGGTTATTTATATTTGTTATGATAACAAAAAACTCTGTTCATCAGTGTAAACTACGACGAAAATATAAGAACCACGGAGTCTAGAACTGAAGGGGTTCAGATCTAGACCCAGATTATAACACACACGTTAAACACTTCAGTGGCAGCAGCAGCAGCAGCAGCAGCAGCAGTAACAGCAGCAGCAGCAGCAGCAGTAACAGTACCAGCAGTAACAGTAACAGCAGTAACAGTAACAGCAGCAGCAGCAGTAACAGTACCAGCAGTAACAGCAGTAGCAGCAGTAACAGCAGCAGCAGTAACAGCAGCAGCAGCAGTAACAGTACCAGCAGTAACAGCAGCAGCAGCAGTAACAGCAGCAGCAGTAACAGCAGCAGCAGTAACAGCAGCAGCAGTAACAGCAGCAGCAGCAGCAGTAGCAGCAGCAGCAGCAGCAGCAGTAACAGCAGCAGCAGTAACAGCAGCAGCAGCAGCAGCAGCAGCAGCAGCAGCAGCAGCAGTAACAGTACCAGCAGTAACAGTACCAGTAACAGACACTCTCGTCTCCCCTGGTACTGATTCTAAACACACTCCAGTCTCTACACCTGTTGGAGGTACGCAGTCACGATGCCCCCTTGTGGTACGGCACAAATCGCATCCTCCAACCCCACCCCCTCACCCCTCACCCCCTCTTCCACTCCATTCTCCCCCTCCATGATACAATTAAAGGCCAATAATGCAACACTGGCGCATCATCGTCACTGCTTTTCTCCGATAAGTGAAGCCGAGAGGCGGCGGAGTGAGGACGGACGACGGACGATGGACGATGGACGGACGGACGGACGACGGACGGACCTGGGGGGGAGGACGGTCCGAGCTGCTGTGTTGGAGGCTGCAGTCTGTGTCATCCCACGCAATTCCCCCTTTCTATTCAGCCACCAGCCGTGCACGTCAGGCGGTAGAAGTGTGTGTGACTTTGACTGGGTGCAGTGACCATGATGACAACAGGATGGAGAGGAAGATGAAGGAGGGAAGAGTGTGAAAATGTCGATGGTCTAAAATGGTCTGACTGAAAATGAGCACACTGCCATGTTTATCATGAAAGTCAAGGAAAGGAGGAAGGAGAGGAAGGGAGGACTCACCAACTCCGATCTTCTCCTCCTCTGTAGGAATCCACATCTTTGGTTATTCAGCCCTCGACGCTGAAAGCTTCATGATGTCGATGATTGTAGTGAAGGCTGCGGGCTGGAGGCTGAGGAGCTCCAGGACTACATCATGGAAGGAGCGGAATCAGCGTCCTGGGCTCGGCATACATCTGCGTGTGCAGGGGGGGCTGGGGGGGAGGACGGGAGAAAGGAAGGAGGAAAGGAAAGAAGGAAAGAAGGAAGGAAAGAAAGAATAGTTCAGGACGGAGCTCGGAGCAGCGGAGCCGCGGCGTCTCTGCTCTGTTATGTCCTGGCGCACGCGCGTGTGTGTTCCTCCAGTCTGATGCAGTCTTCGTGCCCACCTCATGTACGATCACACGGGCGCGCACGCACGCATGCACGCACTCCGCTAGCTCCAGTATCTTCTGCTGTGTCTGTCGCATTTCAGCTGCGGCCTGTTCTCCGAACACTGCCATCGTTTTTAATCGTTTTTAATCGTTTTGATCGTTTCTCTTTTAGTCGTTGATCATTTCCTGTTTCATCCTCAACACCCAGAAGAAATATTATCATTATATAATAAAAACAAATAAATTACACCGTTACATCACACATTATTGCCTTACATAATAATAATAATAAGTTCAAAAATAAAAACTATAAATGAGTAAATGTTTTGGTCACGTGACCTGGTCTTTTTGACGGTTTTGTCAACGCCAACATAGTATGTACAGAATATATAAATATATATATATGTATAAACATAAATGTTTGGTGACAGATGGACTTACCTGGAAACCTTTACCTCAACACACACACACACACACACACACACACACACACACACCACAACTGGTCCGACTTTTCTACTGCATTTAAGAGACAGACCAATAGATTTTGCAGCTTTATTCTTAGTAAAATACTTTAGATACAGACTCTGTGTCAGGAAGGTCAACAGGAGACAATCCCATTGGCCGAGAACAAAACATTTATACACAAGCATGAAGAGAAAGATTGAAATGTTCGCACTTCAAAAAGAAAAGGTACAGAAGTGCTGGGCGTCCACGTCCACGTCCACGTCCACGTCCACGCCGCCACCACCGCCACCACCGCCACCACCGCCACCACCGCCACCACCGCCACCACCGCCACCACCACCACGAAGTCAATGCACAAACATGTCAGGTGACCCGTCAGGTGTGTCTCTTGGTCTTATCTGAAGGTCATGTTTGGACTCTGACAGAAGACGCTGCTGTGAGACGAGCCTGGAGGTGTGTGTGTGTGTGTGTGTGTGGGTGTACAGCGCGCCGGTGTTTAA